CATATCGTTTGGGTTGAGATTCAGAGGAAGAAAAGGTAAGTTTACGTTTTGGAAAGACAAAATCATCATCAGGGTCACTTATATTTTCATTAAAAGGCATAGTGCTATGCCTTTTAATGAAAATATAAGTGAAATAAAAAATATATGAAATAAATACAACAAACAAAAAAGTTCCTTGCTCAAGGAACTTTTTTGTTTGTTGTACATTATACTTAGCTTTGTTTACATTAGATGTTGACATTCTTGTAACAGGAGGTAGGTTAGATTTATGTTTGAACAAAGTTTTATGGTTTAATTTAACTATTTCTGCGATACTATGAAACAAGTACAAAGTACAAAGAACAAACAAAGAATTAAACTTGTAACGACTTTAAAGAGAGTCCGAGCTCAAAAGTACGTAAAAAAAGTTTATTATTCACAGAGGGAAAATCAACACAGTCACTATAAAGAAGAACCAGTTGAACTCTCATGTTACTGAGTGAAAATTTAAAAACGTACGTTTTCATGTCCCTGGCCTTTTACTTCGTAGACACTGGATTTGTAGTTTATTATTATGTGTTTTAATATTTTTTGGGACGGGGGCAACATGTTACACACATTTATTTGGTTTTAAATAGGTTCTAGGTATTTTTTTCGTATTTTTAAAGTCTCGAAATTCACGACCATGACGTGTCCCTAGGGTGCATTTTCCAACTTTCACGCTGTTTTTAGACTAATTATTCATGCCGAAATATATAAAGCCATATTTTTATGTCATCAATGGTTATTAAACTTACAAAAAAGGAGCATATTATAATTTTATTGTCATTAAAAACTGACTACCATGACAAAATAAGTCTGTCCCTCGATTTGGCGTCACGACCATTTGGGAAAAATTTTCAACTTTGGAGCACGACAGTGGCAAGCCTGTCGTCGATGGAGTCAGTTGGTTTTAGAGACTAGTTCGGGGTGTATGTCAGGATTGTAGTGCCGGTCGTTTCGAGTTGAAAGGAGGAATTACAAGATTAATAAAGGAAAGATTGTGTTTTTTGTAATTTTTGTGTGTCCATGACTGTATGTAGTCATTCGATGAAGTAGACATGGTGTTAATTTTTGTTTATAAGATATTTCAATTGCTAGATTAACCTAGAAGTCCACTTTGTATCCTCGAACATGAGGTGCAGGGCTACCGCCAGAACAGAGTCAAATAACACGTAATTTCACGACCAAAGTTTCACGACCATCGCGGGTTTTTTCACGACCAATCCAGCCTTATGGATTATAGTGTGTTTGGTCGTGACAATAACTTTAATATAATTGTAAATTGAACAGTTTAGTTCAATTGAAACACATATTTTTATTATAACTAACAGGATAATTGAAGGATTGTTTAGAAAGATATGGATTATTCCAGACAATTCACGACCGTACCGCTTGTCCCTGACCATCACGTTTATGATTTCTATCATAAAAAATTCAAAAATTAAAATATCGTCATATTTTAATGTTTTATACACAAAAGAAGCACACCTCTATACAAACATAACGATTTTTCGGGTCTCAGGTAAGTTTTTTCGGAGTTATACAAACTTAAAAAGATTTTATTGGCTTTTTTTCAATTTTTTGAGTTTTTTATTTTTTTCCAGAAAAACCAAATATACCAAAAGCTCAGTGACCTTTTTATTGTATAATGGTCATAAAAGTAAATAGGTTTATAGCGAAACATAGTTATAAAAATAATATTAACTATTTTTAATATTCATTTAAAAATCCGTTATGGTCGTGACAGGATTTTGTGTTTTTCCACTAAAGATGCTCTTTGAAAAAGAAACTACCAAAGATATTGCGTTACCATGGACATTTTGTGAAACTTCAAATAATGTTAATGAAATAGAAATAATAATAAAAGTTTTGAAAAAAGGGGAAAAGAATTTGCAAAGTGCTTTTCCTGAAAACGTACGTTTTTAAATTTTCACTCTACTACCACTGATTGTGTGAGAGTTGTTCTAAGATTGAGTTATGGCTAAATCCACAGAAAAATGCCCCCGCCTCAGCAAACCAGTAGATACTACAAATTTCGATTAGTGTGTTTGGATTTTTACTTATATATTTCCATAAACAAGTTGTATTTATTCAAGTAACATTATAGCTTACAACGAGTAGGCCTACTTAGGTTTGCTGCCACGTGAAAGAGAGAAGTCTTATTTTTAATAATAGTATAGGATAAAATTAATAATTTTTTTACAAATTTGATCAAAATATAGGATAAACAAGCGAACTACGACAGTTTTTTCTCCCTTCATAAGAATAACATTAGAATTTTCAATATACAGTTTTTTCCGCAATATTAAAACAATGTTTACTATACAAAATTGTTTGTCTTTATAAGCTTTACACGATGGTTGCAATACAGATCACTATTTGTTACTTGTAAAACTTTAATGGTGGCTTAGAGAATGCTAAAATATTCCTCAATTTACAGATCCTGTATTAAAAGGAGTTGCACTTTATGAGACACAAAGTCACAGAGACACTTCACTAAGGGGAAACGGACAAACCTTCCCTAGTGGAAGAGATCAATATATATCAATACAAAAATTGTATATTGATACGTATTGATACGTATGTGTATTTGGGCCAATACACATCAATACACATCAATACATATCAATACAAGTAAATAGGATCTGAGTCATTAGCTTTTTTGAAAATTATTTGTAGCTTGTTAAAAAACCATTTTTAATTTGTTTCAAAACATTAAATAATATCAACTATGCACTAAAAATAAAATAAAAATTAAAAAGTAAAAAAATTCTTGGTATAAAGTTCAGTGGGATCCCGAGATTTGAACCGGGGACTCCAGCATGGAAACCGGTTGGCTTAGTCATTACACCACGGACGCTTCATGATGGACTGAGTAATGATAGCCATTTTGAATGCGAGAAGCTGTGTTAGGCCTCATAATTTAACTTGATAAAGATTTTCAATGACATTTGTGTCATTTCAAGCATGCTTTAACATGTTTCAAAACTGTTTTATTACCAGTTCAAACTGTTTTCTTGCTACTTGGGTGATATGAATAGTGTCAATACAATTTATTTTTATTGATTTCTAGAAATAAGGAATTCAATAATGAATTTGTGAGGCATTTTTATCCCTAACGATAACCCAATAAGCAAAAAAATTGTTTAAAGTTGTCGAAAGCTGTATTACAATAATTGTTGTATAACAATTTTAAAACATTTTGATTTAAACTTCATATTACAACAATTTTGATATAAGATTGAAACAATTTTAAAATTGTTTAACAATAAGTTTTTTTGAGTTGAAAAAAATAAGTTTCAATACGAGCTGTAAGTGTTTTACAACAATTTTAAAATAGTTTTACAACCACTTTTTTGAAGTTTAAGAAAATCAGTTTTAATACAAGTTGTAAACTGTTTTACAACAATTTTAATGTTTAGCAATCAGTTTTTGGAAGTTTAAAAAATAATTTTTAATACAAGTTGTAACTGTTTTACAACAATTTTTAATGTTTAGCAATCAGTTTTTGGCAGTTTAAAAAATAAGTTTTAATACATAAGCTGTAACTGTTTTGCAACAATTTTAAAATTATATATTTTTAAATTACCTATATTGAGTTTTAGGTACCTCAGCTAACGCCTATGACCTAGAACTAGAGTTTTTCCTTTTTTTCAAAAAATAACATTTTTATTACTGTTTATTTCACAAAGTTTACATTGGTATTTTGTATAATCCATAATGTTCATATGTGGTACTTTTTAGAGATATTTTGCATTTTATTTATCTGTATTGATGTCTACTGATTTATATTTACATCTAACATATTTAAAAAATATTCTCTATTGATATCAATGAACGATTTGTTTGCTCTAATGATCTATATTGATATATTTTATGTTTATAGATGTCTAGTGATATGTATTGACTAAGTTTTCAGTGATGTCTATTTGTTTGTATTTACTTGTAATGATGTCCATGAACATCTATTGATATCACTAAGCATCTAGTGATATCAATAGATTTTTTCTATTGATTTCTATTGATGTCTTCCACTAGGGTTTCCCAGGGTTAAAATTGACCTGCGAATTTCTGGCCTGTTTTGCAAGGATGGACAACCTTTCCCAGCACTAATGAAGGGTCGGGATGGGATAGGTTGGCCGCCCCTGCTGCCAGGATTTCATCGAGTTTGAGGATAGTTGACAGGGGATGCAATATTATATTCTAGCCTTTACACTCCGATGCACTGGAAGATCATATTACAACCGAAGGATTGCTACTTAGAGGGTGGCAATATCATGAAAGTATGCTCCTTTAGTAATGGTCTACAGTAAAATTAATACGCAAAATAAATATTCTTTAAATGTGTCAGTAGGTAAGCACAATAAAAGGTGTCCTCCATAAGAATCATATGGGGACCAAGTAAGCAGTTTAGCTGCAATAACAACTACAAAGGGTGTGTTTTTAAAAAAATATAAAAAAAAACAATAAATAAATATTCACAAAATAAATCAAAATACAAAATTGTCAATTGAAAAAAAAATTGAAATAAGAAATTTCTATAAGAAATTGATTTTTGCTTATTCTCTTTAACATTCTTAGGGAAAATCCAATGAGGCAAATAGAAATTCGCAGGTCGCAAAAAGAAAATTAGTCTGCAGGTTTGCTGAGGCAGAGATATTTTTATTTTTTAACTAACTACTTTAATCGGCTTTTTAAATGTTTTAAACTTTTTGGTTATCATTTATATAGATTCTTTTGCTATTAAAATTCCACCGCCTGTTAACTTTACCAATCAATAATACCATTTATTACAGTCAATATAATAAATAGTTTTACATTTCCCTCTATGTAATTGCAGTTAGGATGACAATGAATAAACAGTGTTCTTATTACAAAGTACTACATCAAACCAGTGCATTTGAATAAAATAGGTTATTCTTTTTACATGTAGCATAAAGCAAAATTTCTGCTGAACAGAGTCATCATCCATGTTTACGTATATGAGCCTGGCAACAGTAGATCTTCAAGGTCTTCCACTTTCTGTCCCACTTTGGCACCTTCAGCTGCTACTCCTTGATCCAGTTACACTTGTGTTGTGCTAGTGAAAGGAACACTTCACATTTTTATCTACTGTTAAGAGTTTCTTAGAATTTTCATTTATTTTAAATAAAGATCCATAAGGTAAGTAATCTTTAACAATTGGCAATTGTTTTATTTATTCATTTTTACATTCAGATATATATTATTCATCTCAACTTTACCGTGCATGTTTATAAAACTTTGCCCAAATTTGTGTCCATGGGAGGAATATATTAAAAATACTATAAATGGCTTTCTAAAATTAAAAAGTATATTTTTACCTTTTTTGACCCTCAAGTTCAAATCCATTTATTTATAATTTCATCAATCAAATGGTACTTAATATTTGTTATTCACAGACTTTATTAAAAAAATTACACATTAATAGTAGTTAATAGTAATAAACCTCAAAGAATTGGATGCACTCAAACACTAAAACTTTTGTATATGCACTCAAGATCTCACTAAGCTTGAATTGTTACAACACTGTTGCTACTTAGACCTGTAACCCAAATAAATAAGTTGATCAAATACTGGTTATCTGTACTGTGCTCTTCAAGTGTTTTAAATAGGTGATAGGTAATAATATAAGATCACTATTGTTGTGGTTTTTAAATCAGAGTCAACATTTGTGCATTGTATTATTGTGAGAATATATTATATTTTTTAATATCATTATATCCAGAGTAAGAAAAATTTGTCAGCAAGTTAATGAGTTATTCATTGTTATCAAATGTTTAAACAGTAGTTGCGGCTTTAAAAACCCTTGGTTAGTTTCAGTTTGATGAAGTGCTGAATCTTATTCATAGTTTGCTAACTAAATATCTTAAAGAACAACCTGAAATTACATGTTATTGGCAGTGGCAGTATTTTAGTCATTTACTTCACAGTATTAAGAAAAACTATTATCATTCTGTAAATTTTGAACAAGTTACTCAATAAATTGTACCATACTCTGTATCAATTTGAATAAAAACCCATTACCATCTGGAGTGATCTATTACATAATGTTCAGTAAGACTGTACACATTACATTTTAAAGTAAAAATTAGATATGTAATGATGGTATGGTTAGTTTCTTACCCTGAAAACAGAATAAAATATAAAAATCAGACTTCAACACCTAAAATTCTGTTTTATTCTGCATCTCCCTTTAATCCTGTGTCTTTAGTCTAAAATTTCAAGATGAAAAATGGAGACACACTGTTCAATTCAAACAGAACAATAAGCATGTAGAAAACATTGGACTTAACATTGTTGTCAGGATTTGGGAATTATTGTGGTGTAACAATAAAATATAGCAAATGCTAACTAACTAATTGTTATGATTATTATGTGTTTTATTTAGATTTGTTATATGAATTTCAAAACCTGATGTAATTATTAATAAATAATGAAAGCATATTTGTGGTAAGAAAAGAATATTTGTACAGTTATCTTTGTACAGTGTTTCCAATATTTAGCTCTGGATAGAACTGGACACAAGATTGAATTATATTAATGGTAATTTTTTTGTTTGTTTGTGAGTGATGTGGCCTGAAGACCCTGGAGTGACCACGTGGCGTGGTCTTGACCTTAACTCCCTTCAGGTAGACGAAGCCTACCTCAATATCACTTCCAACAAAGACGAGGTCTACCTCTATTCCATCTCTGAAGACTGTGATCGAGTAAGATATCATTATAACAGTATGTTGAGACCAGTGACCAGACCCTGTGTTGGATCTTTATTTGTTTTCTTTTTATATGATGTCTGCACACTATATAGTATTGCATATTTTAGTGACTATGACATTTAATTTTCAATACATGATACATACACAGCTAATTGTACGAGAATACTGAGAATACATACAAATGTACATGTGAATAGTTACAAGTAATCAATACATACAAATGTATATGTGAATAGTTACAAGTAATCAATCAACTAAAATTTAGATTTCTTTTGATCGTATATGGCCGGGTTAGGTCCAGCATTATATACCATTGACTTTATAAAAGTCAATGATTATACTCATTTAAGGAATGCAATGTCATTGATATAACATACCTACTGCTTTAATTTAATTTCCAAACTTAAACTCAAATCTGTGAGGGTCAGTATCACATAAATCAATTACACTCATAACAAATACCCCCGCCGCAGCAAACCTGCCGACTAAGCGAATTTCCATTTGTCTGAATTGATTTTCAGTTAAATATATTTTAATAACATTAGGTTTAACGAGTACCTAGGTTTGCTGCTACAAAGAAACTAATAAAGTGTGTTTTTGAGTAAAATATTGATAGCTTAGTACAAAATAAATAAATTTGCCAAGTTTGTTCAAAATATATTCATAAACAAGCAAACTACAACATTTGACAATATTCTCGATAAGAATAACATGGGAATTTTAAATTTACAATTTTTTTTTATTTTCTCCGTTACTAATATTCGAACAAAAATACTTTTATATACTAAATTGTTTGTTTTTTTAAGCTCTTTAAAAAGGTCTAACGAGAAATTGGGAAATTTTGTGTTTTGAGGGTCAAAAGTGAGAAAAACCAATTTTTACCCCATAAAACCCCCCGTAAAGCCCCGTTCCCATGGTTCGATCGTGCTGGCTCGCGAACTCATTCAAGTTTATCCCGCTTTACACCTTTAAACCAAATTTCATCAAAATCGGACAAAAATTACTCAAGTTATCGCGTTCACGGACGTATATATCCTTATATATAATTCTGTAAGACAAATTTTTTACCAGGAAATTGTGGACGTCTGGTAAGTCGCAGAAAAGTAGGAGGGGTCTTAAATTAAAGGCCTTGACCCCAGAGACTCGGGAAAAATATTCCGATAAAATTACTAGAAAACGAGATATAACGTAAAATGTTCTCCATAAGAATAGCATTAGAAGCCATTTACTGCTGATTTTTGTTTACTTCGATACAGCTGATCGATCGTGATTTATCACCAAGCCAGTAGCAATATTAACATTTGGATTATTGATTTGCCAGTCAATTCTGCAATGTACTATATAAAACCAGGGATAACGTTTTATTTAATAATTAAGACTTACTTTAGGTTACGTTATAGAATGTTGAAATGCATTATTTTACCGTGAAACTTTTCAAATTTGTGTATTTAAACGTTTAACATGAAATAACCACATTGACTAAATAATTAACGATTCAAGATTAATGGAAAACTTCTGCTTTGTTTTTATTTCAAAACATATGTTCTAGATTTATTCTAAACTTTCTCTATTTTAAATTTGAGATTTATTGTAGTGTTTAATCAATGTTTTGTATGAAGTGGAATAACCTTAATGGCTACTCTTAGAAAATAACCTGGGAATAAAGATGGAATAGGTTTGTACAGGAAATATATATTTGTTGATTAAGTAAGTAGTATGACAAGTTCCAATGGGAGGAAAAACAATATTGTTTAGAGATTTTAAACATGTACTGTCTGTTGTTCGCAACAGAGTTAAGAATCATCCGATAATTAGGCCTAATTTGATAGAATATGTAACGTCAATCGCACCTTTAAGAGGAATACCACCACATACACTAATTGTAGTTTTTTTTTATGTTGATCAGAAAAAATCTAGGGTTAAGGTCAATTGGATGCCTTTACTTTACACTAATGTTGTTAAACCCAAAAGGAGTATAAACTTAGAAATATTAACTGGGTAGGGATGCTAATTTAGCGGGTTTGGTCAAGAACTAAGCTTACCTCAACATACCTTTATTTGCCTTTTCATATTTGACGAAGACAATTTCCAATATTCCAATCAGGGAAGTCTTTTTTTATCACTATTAACCACAAGACCAAAGCTACCTTAATAAACCAGTATTCACAACAAACAATTATATTTATTCACAAACAATTTTATGTTTGCTGCCTTTAGCAGAGTTAAACCTATGTAGTGATTCGATTTGAATAATTTATAGATAATAACATCAACAAAGACAAACAAAAAACTGTTTTTTACACAAAATATGTACATGTATATCTATTCTGACACATAGATAATATATTTCTTAGTTTGTTTAAATATTGGAATAATTTGTTATTTTTTATTGAGCTTTTTAGGGACTTATGTCCCTACAAGCCACCAGTATATATATAAGTCTATGTACAGGGTGTTTTTTTAAAAACTTGCATCTTTATTTATGTAAAAACCGCAATAGATAGAAATATGCAGTTTGCGGGAATCATCTATTGACGTAGGGGGCCCAATTGTTTTGAATTCAACGTTACATTCACATTCCCCCCCTTTCCCCCCCTGCCCCCAACTTATTTTTTTTAAATAGCAAGGTACCGCTTGTGACATATCAAATGAAAGAGCATAAAAAAAGAAAATGTTTGATGAAAAAAAATTAAAAATTGGTTTATAAATTTGCGAGATATTTCCCCCCCCCCTTCCCCGGAACTTGATTTTTTTTTTAAAGCAAAGTACCCCTTGTGACATATCAAATGAAAGAGCATGAAAAAAGAAATTTTTTGGTGAAATTTATTTTTCATTTGATATGTCACAAGGGCGGGTACCTTGCTATTAAAAAACAAGTTATGGGTAGGGGAAAAAGGGGGGGGGGGGTTATCTCACAAATTCATGAGCCGATTTTAAATTTTTTTCCACCAAAAATTTTCTTTTTTCATGCTCTTTCATTTGATATGTCACAAGGGGTACTTTGCTATTAAAAAAATAATCAAGTTCCGGGGAAGGGGGGGGAAATATCTCGCAAATTTATGAACCGATTTTTAATTTCTTTTCATCAAATATTTTCTTTTTTCATGCTCTTTCATTTGATATGTCACAAGGGGTACCTTGCTATTTAAAAAAAATAAGTTGGGGGCAGGGGGGAAAGGGGGGGAATGTGAATGTAACGTTGAATTCAAAACAATTGGGCCCCTACTTCAATAGATGATTCCCGTAAACTGCATATTTCTATCTATTGCGGTTTTTACATAAATAAAGATGCAAGTTTTTAAAAAAACACCCTGTATATACAGGGTGATTGATATAAGTGTGCCAGCCGTTTTATTCGAAAACTATAAGAGATATAAAAAAAGTTAAATGGTAAGTGCCTTGGATTTTTTATTTAAAAAATTATAGTCAAGTCAAAAAAAATATTTTAGCCGCCATTTTTTCAATATGGCCGCCAACTTTGATTTTTCTTGCGGAATACCCTGTATTTTATGATGTATTCTGGTAGAAAAAGTAATTTTAAGACGATTTTATTCTTGTGATTTTTTTCATAAACCTAACCGTTTTAAAGATAATAATGGTTAAAGTTTTGAAATTTCTGCTTGAGAAAGAGTTTCGAAGCAAGCATGCCAGCTGTTTTGCTCGAAAACCATTCAAAATTTCACAACTTAAACCATTATTATCTTTGAAACGGTTAGGTTTATGAAAAAAATCACAAGAATAAAATTGTCTTAAAATTACCTTTTCTACCAGAATACATCATAAAATACAGGGTGTTCCATAAGAAAAATCAAAGTTGGCGGCCATATTGGAAAAATGGCGGCTAAAATATTTTTTTTGACTTGACTATAATTTTTTTAATAAAAAATCCAAGGCACTTACCATTTAACTTTTTTTGATATCTCTTATAGTTTTCGAATAAAACGGCTGGCACACTTATATCAATCACCCTGTATATATACAGGGTGTCCCATAAGTAAAGTGCCAAACTCTGGGAATAGGTTCTATGGGTCAAAATAAAGAGAAAATCAAGAATAAAGTTTTTTTCAAAAACGCTTCGTTTACCAGATATCCGCCATTTTGTATTTTTTACTAAATAATTTATATCTTCTGATTTTTTCAACCGATCCTTATAAAACTCGGTAAGTATGTTTAGATAAAAGAGACATACTGTAGAAAAAAAATTCAACTTGGTCCAATTTAAAATTTCAAAATGGCGGCCATTTTGAACATTTAATCTAAAATTACGGGAAAACGGTAAAAAATACAAAAATGTACTAAGAACACTTTTTTTTATAAAATTTTATTTCCAATCTATCAACACCAAAAACATGAAAATCGAACAAAAAATAACCGAGATACATTAAAATGTGTGTTAAGAGGCAGCAAAAAATCCATTTGTTGTAAATAGCCCCAATCAGCTGAACAGCTGATTGAAAAACATGTGTTTGTTGAGTTGCATTGTTGCATTGTTGTTATTATTGTTCTGTTTACTTTAAACATCATCATTGTGATCAGGTTAGGTTGATATTTTCTAAGTTTATTTAAATGCCGAACCATAGCTATTCTAATGTCGAGCTAGCTGATATTCATTTTTTTTACGGCTTAGGTAATGGGAATTCGCGTGAGGCATGCCGCCTTTACGCAGAAACGTTCCCCAACCGACGAATTCCGTGTAGGAAAGTGTTTGTAAATGTTCACAGGAATTTGAGGGAACGAGGAACACTAAAATTCACTGAGAAGACCGGACGGGCTGTTTCTGTAGATACATTAAATAATCAAGAAAGAGTTTTGACGGCCGTGGAAGAAGACCCAAGTACTAGTGTTAGAAGAATATCGCTTGAACATGGTATTTCAAAAAGTTCTGTGTGGCGGATTCTACATAATCAGCAGTTGTATCCTTACCATATCCAAAGGGTGCAATGCCTAACCGATAGGGACTTTCCACCCCGTATTAACTTATGTCAATGGTTCTT